AGTTCTTTGGTGGAGTTTTTGGGGTCTCTTATGTACACTATCATATCATCTGCAAATTACGAAAGTTTAACTTCTTCCTTTCCAGCATCTAATGAAATGATCATATGTTTTTTTCTTTCAGTTTATTTATATAATGGATTATATTGATAGATTTTCATATGTTGAACGAGCCTTGCATCTCTGGGATGAAGCCTACTTGATCATAATGGATCATTTTTTCTAATGTGTTCTTGGATTCGGTTTGCCAGTATTTTGTTGAGGATTTTTGCATCGGTGTTCATGAGTGAGATTGGCCTATAATTCTCTTTCTTGGTGGAGTCTTTGTGTGGTTTTGGTATCAGAGTAACTGTAGCTTCATAAGAGGAATTTGGCAATGACTCTTCTGTTTCCATATTGTGAAAAACATTAAGGAGTATAGGTATTTGGTCTTCTTGGAAAATCTGGTAGAATTCCGCATTGAAACCATCTGGTCCTGGGCTTTTTTTGACAGGGAGGTTTTTGATAACAACTTCTAATTCTTCGCGACTAACAGGTCTATTTAGATTGTTCACCTGGTCCTGGTTTAACTTTGGTATATGGTATTTATCTAAAAAAGTGTCCATTTCTTTTACATTTTCCAGTTTTGTGGCATACAGGCTTTTGTAGTAAGATCTAATGATTCTCTGTATTTCCTCTGTGTCTGTTGTTATGTCCCCCTTTTCATTTCTGATCTTATTAATTTGCATATTCTCTCTCTGCCATTTGATTAGTTTGGATAGGGGTTTATCAATCTTGTTGATATTCTCCAGTAACCAGCTTTTTGTTTCATGATTCTTTGGATGGTTTTCTGTGTTTCTATTTTGTTGATTTCAGCCCTCAGTTTGATTATTTCCAGTCTTCTACTCCTCCTAGGTGAGTCTGCTTCTTTTTTTTTCTAGAGCTTACAGGTGGGCGGTTAAGTCTCCAATGTGTGCTTTCTCCGTTTTCTTTAAGTGGGCACTTAGTGCTATGAACTTTCCTCTTATCACTGCTTTCATCGTGTCCCATAGGTTTGAGTATGTTGTCTCTTTATTTTCATTAAATTCAAGGAAGACTTTAATTTCTTTCTTAATTTCTTCCTTGACCCAGGTTTGGTTCAGTAGTTGACTGTTCAGTTTCCATGAGTTTGTCAGCTTTCTGGGGGTAGCATTGTTTTTGCCTTCTGATTTTAATCCCTAGTGATCTGATAAGACACATGTGGACACTGATATTTGTTGTATCTGTGGAGGTTTCCTTTGTTTCCGAGTATGTGGTCAATTTTCGAGAAGGTTCCATGAACTGCAGAGATGAAGGTATATTCTTTCCTATTTGGGTGGAGTGTTTTATAGATGTCTGTTAAGTCCATTTGCTTCATTATCTCCAATAATTCTCTTAATTCTCTATTCGGTTTCTGTCTGATTGACCTGTCCCTTGGAGAGAGTGGTGTGTTGAAGTCTCCTACTACTAGTGTGTGTGGTTTGATGTCTCCCTTGAGTTCTAGTAATATTTCTTTTTCATAAGTGGGTGCTTTTATATTAGGGGTGTTGATATTCAGGACTGAGACTTCATCCTGATGAATTGTTTCTGCTCCGTGTATAAAGTGTCCATCTCGATCTCTTCTGATTGATTTTAGTTTGAAGTCAGCTTTGTTAGAAATTAGTATGGCCATACCTGCTTTTTTCTTGGAAACATTTGCTTGAAAAACCTTTTCCCAACCCTTTACTCTGAGTAGATGCCTGTCTTTGTGGTTGAGATGTGTTTCTTGTAACCAGCAGAATTTTGGATCCTGTTTTCTTGTCCTATCTCTTAGCCTGTTTCTTTTTATAGGTGAATTGAGACCATTAATATTAAGTGATATTAATGACCAGTGGTTGTTTTCTCCAGTTATACATTTTGGTAGTGTTGTTTGTGTGTCTCCCTTCTTTGAATTGTGCTCGTGAAGGGTCGCTAGATGCCTGAGTTATTGTAGGCAGTGTTGGCAGTGTTGGATTCCTTGGGTTGTGATTTTCCTTCTATTACTTTCTGTAAGGCTCGATTTGTGGCTACGTATTGTTTAAATTTGTTCTTATCCTGGAATGTCTTGTTTTCTCCATTGATAGTGAACGATAGCTTGGCTGGGTATAGTAGTTTGGGTTTGCATCCATGGTCTCTTAGTTTCTTAAGTACCTCTATCCAGGACCTTCTGGCTTTCATGATTTCCGTAGAGAAGTCAGGTGTAAGTCTGATTGATTTACCTTTATAAGTTACTTGGCCTTTTACCTTTGCAGCTCTTAATATTCTTTCTTTAATCTGTATATTTTGTGTTTTGATTATTATATGGAGAGGGGATTTTTTTTTGATCCAGTCTGTTTGGTGATCTGTATGCTTCTTGAATTTTCAAAGGAATATCTTTCTTCATGTTGGGAAAGGTTTTTTTTTTTCATAATTTTGTTTAAAATATTTTATGGGCCTTTGAGCTGTGACTCTTCTCCTTCTTCTATCCCTATTATTCTTAGGTTTTATTTTCTTCGACTGATGAATCTATTTTCTCTATAGTATCTTCAACACTTGAGACTTTCTCTTCCATCTTTTGTATTCTGTTGGTTATACTTGCCTCTGTAGTTCCCATTAATTTATTCAGGATTTTCCATTTCCAGAATTCCCTTGGTTTGTATTTTATTTATTTACTCTATTTTAGTGTTCAAGTCTTGAACTGTTTGGTTTGCCTGTTTAATTGTTTTTTTCTTGGTTTCCTTGGATTTCTTTAGGGATTTATTGGTTTCTTCCAATTTAGTGTTTGTTTTTCCTCCATTTCTCTAAGGGAATTTTTCATTTCCTCTTTAAAGACCTCCATCATTCCCATAAAGTTAAATTTCAAATCATTTTGTTTTCTGTCTTCTGGGTTAGGTTAATCAAATCTTCCTGTTGTATGATACTGAGTCCTGGTATTACCATGTTGCTTTCCATTGACATCTGCCCATCTCTTCCTCTACTTGGTGCTGGCAGTGTTTTCCCTCTTAGTCCCATCCTTGTAATTGCTGTCTGTGTCTTTGAGAACTTTTCTGAGTCTACTCTGTACTGTCACTGTCTCAGTGAGCTGCTGAAGTCTCCCTTGGCTCATTCTCTTTGTCTGCTCTCTCAATTCACTCTCTTTGTCCTCTTTGTGCAGTTACACCTTATTTTTCAGGGTTCCTCTCTTGTTTTTTGCTCTGTAGTTGGAGCCTGTGTTTAAGAGTTTCTCTGAGGTCACTAGGGATAGAAGGGATTAAGGCAGAGTGGGACTTGTAGCTTGCAGGTTTTGAAGGATGGGGTGGGGTCTCCCTCTAACTTTATGTTGATTTTTTGGTATCACACACAGGCCACCAGGCTTGTATATCAAGTGAATTTACCTGAACACCACCTTGGCAATTTTGAAATCTGTTTTCAAATCATAGAAAAAAGGCTCCGTACCTTGGGAAGATGAGTAATGGCTCTACAAAGACATGGGTATTGCTTTCTGGTGTTTGGTTGTGTGTATTTCCAAATTGTCCTAGATAAACGTTTCTGAAAATTTCTTAAGGAACAACAAAAACCACCCAGAACATAGAGGATCAACACAGGGGAGACACATGAGGGGGTGTATTCAGGGGCTATAGAGTGTGAACAATGTACTAAATATTTCACTTCAGTTACTGGGCTGTTTGCTTCTTGTACTCATCTGGGGTTTCTCTACCAATCACTGTCCTGAGCACAGCTGCTCCTGGGCTTGCAAGTCCCTCATGAGACAATCAGACCCATTGTTGCCTTTTCTGCAGTCAGCAAATGATGCCCAGAACTGTGACCTTGAATGCAAAGAGTCTAAGAAGACCCAGGAGAAGGGAATAAAACTTTTAATGACTCTGGGATTTATTGGTCACCCACCTCCATCATGTCGTGAACAATATTCTCCTCACAGCCTGCAAACCTAGAATTCCCAGTGTGGTCTTAGCTTTAGGCCCTTGATCAAGAACTTTCTCCCATATAAAAGCCCCTTCACTGCAGGCTACTGCTCCATATGAGGCTGTCCTGTCACTGATGGCCTGGTGCCCAGCAAGCATGTGGCTGTGTACTCTCTTTCCTGTTCTCTTTGGCTATGTGTCTGTGTCTGCTCTTTCTGCACCAAGAGCCTGGCTTTTGCCAAAGCAGAGGCGTTACTTTGACCGTCCTGGGGATGTAATAGTGGGGGGCAGCTTCTCCATCTTTGATCTCTCTATTGGTACCCTGTCTGACTTCACTGTCCCACCATCAGGACTGCTGGCTTCAGAGTAAGTGTTGGATGTGGAATGTGAGTCTCTGAAACCCAGAAGCAGCTTTACAAGTTTGTGTGAATCCTTGGATAGTGGTTGATTCTCAGAGTCCCAGCAAGATGGCCACCATCTTTCTCTGTGTATCCATGCAGTAGCTCTGTTGCTCTCCTTTTACGTGACCTCTGTCTGTCTGTCCTTGCTGTTTGTACTGGACTGAAGTATGGGTGCTCATGTACTGGGTGTAATGTCTGCCCTCAGTAGGCCAGGTGGGGCTTCTTGATTCTTCTGTATATCCAAGGTTCTTAAAATAGTGTCTATGTAGGTGTGTTTGCTGAATGGATTAATGTGTAAATAATAGATTTTCATCAGTTATCATCCCCGTGATTTCTCTGTGCTGTGTTCCTTTTGCTTGTTATTTTTTTTCTAAGCATCATGTACTCTGCAATTCACTAGGTAGTCAAAGATGACCTTGAATTTCTGATCTCCTGCCTCCACTTTCCCAGTGATGAGATGATGGGCTGCACCACCACCTTCATTCCGTGAGGTCCTGGAGATCCAGCTCATGACGTGAGCCATATGAACAGTTCCACTTTTGGATATAATCATTCCAGCTTTTGCAATATACTGTAGTTTCCAAAACAAGCCTTTTTAAACATTTGTATTTAGCTTTATTGCTTTTAATTGAGCATAGGACACATGGCTGTACTCTTATCGCTCAGGAAGCTGAGGCAGGAGTATTATTATTTCCAGGCAAGATTGGGGTACACGATGAGACCTGTGTCAAAAACCATTTAAGAGTGCTTTTTTTAAAAGTAATATTTATCATTTTCATTCAGTTACAAATGCAAGAGATTTTTATTACTGTGTTTTCCCACTTGAAATCATTTATATTACTTTTTTTTTGAGATAGTATCTCAGTTTATGTTCTGACTACTCTGGAACTCCTTGTGTAGTTCAGGCTAACCCTCCAAAACTGGACTGCAAGCACAAGGCAACACACTGGCTCTAATGGCTTGCTTTTGAGTTTTCTTTTCTTTCTTTCTTTTTATTTTTTGAGATAGGGTTATACTGTGTTCATGAGGCTAGACTAGAACTCAGTATCTTCCTGCCTCCAAACTTTAATGTTGGCAGATGTGGTGCTGGAGAAGTGGCTGATATATCTTGTTATGCAGGCAACAGTAAGTAGACAGTCTCACTGGGCATGGAAACCCTAAAGCTTGCTTCTAAAGTGACACTCTTCCTCATACAAGATCACAGCTATTCTAACAAAATCATCCTAATAGTGCCCCTTAATTTGGGGGCCATTTTATTTCAAAACATCACATTCCACTCCCTCACTCCAAAAACTTGTTGCCATATCATAATGCAAAAATGCATTCAGTCCATCTTCAAAAGTACTCATAGTCTACTACAGTTACAAACTTCTTTAAAAGTCTAAAGATCAAAGTCTCTTCTAAGATTCATGCAATGTCTTTACTGTAATTACCTATAAAATCAACATCCAAAAGCAGATCATATATTTCCAGTATACAATGGCACCATTCCAAAGCATAAGAGAGGGAACATAGTGAGGAAATACTGGACCAAAGCAAGACAGAAAACCAGGTGGGCAAACTCCAAACTCTGCACCTCCATGTCTGATGTCCAAACACTCTTCAGATCTCCAACTCCTTTTAGTTTTGTTTACTGCAACACACGTTTCTCTTGGGTTGGTTCCATTCCCTGTTTGTAGCTTTGTTCATCAGGAATCTCATGACTCTGACATTTCCAACATCTTGGGTTCTCCAAGAAATTCCAGGGTTCAACTTCACAGCTTCATGCAGTGGCCTTCTTAGGCCTCCATTCACGGACACATGCCTGTTATCAGCAGCTTTCCTTATTAATGGGGAAGGTTCCATAGTGCCTTTCTTCTCTCCTTAACTCTAAAGCCAGAACCATGTGCCCGAAACTGCCAAGTTCTGCTGCTTGCTGAGGCTGGAACATGGCTCTCATATTCAATGACATCTTCCCCAGATTTCTGGCCTTTATTGCCTAAGCTTGACTATTCTGGAATTTGCTATGTAGACCAGGTAACCTCAAACTCCATTTTTCTGTTTTCATTTATTTATTTATTTTTTTTTATAGTTTTTCTCTGTGTAGCACTGACATTTCTGGAACTCACTCTGTAGTCTAGGCTAGCCTCAGACTCATAAAGATTAGCTTGCTGTGCCTCTTTTGTTCTGGGATTAAAGGCATGCACCACCTGACCCAGCTATGACCCTCCAAATTTACCCAAGGCTGTCTATATGGCTGCAGGTCTTGAACTGTGTACTGAAGTTTGTGGGTTCACTGTTTGGAACATGACTGACTACAATGAGTGTCTTTTCCCCAGAATATATCCATTGCGAATAGTTCAACGGGGAATGGTTAGGGCCACAGATGAAAATTTCCCATGCATGATTGGCTTTAGGCAGGCTCACATGTCTGTTATGTCCAAATCATGTACCAAAGAAAGCATTTTACATCTCTTCTCCCTGTCTTCTGGCTCTTACTATGAGCAATTCTGAAATAGATGTTACTGTTAATTCTAACCAAATGTACTGTGCAATAAATTTTTTGTTTGTTTGCATGGACAGGGTCTCTATCTATGTAGCTAGCTCTTGGTACCTGGATTTGGCTCTACCTCCAGAGTGCTGGAATTAACAAGTGTGCCACCACACCCAGCTAATTCAATAGATCTTCAGTTATCCATTCTGTCTTCTGAAACTGTCCCCTCTGGTTACTGGCTCCACATTCCCTCTGGCTCCCCTTTGAGTATCTGAACTGTGCTCCTCTGCACATCTATGTAGAAATACTTGTGGAGATGTTGTTCTGCTTGTATCTCTCGAGTCCCTGTGTTTATTCTTGTTCAGTTTACCCCATCATGAGGGATAAATGTGGGCTTCTCTTTCCCTCAGCGTTTCCAAGTGGGGCTACCGCGTGGCCCAGAGTTTCGTCTTTGCCATCGAGGAGATCAATAGGAGTGCTCACTTGTTGCCCAATTTGACTCTGGGCTTCTCCATTCGAAACTCTGGGGACTCAGTGCATGGAGCCGTCCACGAGACAATGAGCTTTCTCTCGAGGCAGGAGGATCCCATCCCCAACTATACCTGCCAGCATGGCTCTCCTCAGGCTGCTCTGGTTGGGGACACACGGTCATCCCTGTCTGTCTCCATGGCCAGACTTCTGGGGCTGTACAAGTTTCCCCAGGTGAGTTACTCAAGCCTTCTTCCTTCATGAATGTAGTGCAGTCCCTTAATGTTGGTAGAGAAACAGATGGTGATGGCCACAGGTGTGAGCAGCTCTGCTGTGGAGCCAGGATCCCTGCAAGTATTCTCCATGTGCAACATGGTTCCCCTCCATATACAGATAAAGATAGTTTAGAGAGAACTGGCATCCCTTTCATTGACCAGGAAACTGAGAACATTTCTTTTTTATTTAAGAAATATTTTTAAAGATTTATTTATTTTTATTTTATGAGTATTTTGCCTTCATGCATACATACACACATACATATAAATATACGCATATTTTTAAATATTTATACACACATATGTGTGTATACATGCATCTGTGTATATATTTATATGCACACATGTACTACATTTGTGCCTATTACCCATGAAATCAGAGGAGGACATGGAATTCCCTAGGATGGCATTGCAGATGTTTTATCCCTGCCACATGGGTGCTGGGAATTGAAACTCAGTTCTCTGAAATAGTAGTAAGTACTGTTAACCATTGAACCATCTCTACAGCGATGATGATGATGATGATGATTATTATTATTATTATTATTTGTGTGTGTTTTGTGTTAATACTCAACGCCAGTGCCATTGTGCCCATCTGCATGTTTGAAGACACCTTTTGCGAGTCAGTTCTTTTCCTCATCGTTGGTTCTGGGAAGTAAACACAATTTTCCAGACTTGGTGGTAAACACCTTTACCTGCGAAGGCATCTTTCCAGCTCAGCAAGAAAACAAACAGACAAACAACAAAGAAAATTAAAAAAAAAAAACAGCTTATCAGTCATCTCACCTGGCTCTAGCTAGCAGAGCTGAGATTTGAGTCTAGAAAATTGAGCTCATGCCAATGGTCTCTTCTACCTCATGGATATTCCCATTAACCCACCCATTATTGTCATTTCCACAGCGTGGCCATATATGGCAAACCTCTCAGTTTATAGTTTTGAAGAGGTGACTTCAGGATAATTTATCTATTTAAGTTGAATGATTTAGTGACTTATATCTTAGCATGATTACCGTAGGTGATTTGGAACATGTTCTTTTTCCTGCAAAGAGACACCTCCTACAAGCAAGCCCATTGGCACCACATCCCATCATTCCTAATGTGAAGCAACCTCTAAATTAACTTCTGTGTCTGTGGATTTGGTTTTTCTGTTCATTTTACATGACTGGATTCACACTATAGGTAGGTGTCTGGCCTGGCTTCTTTCACTGAACATGCCTTAAGGTTCATCCATGTTGTTGCAAGTGCTAACATTTCTCTCCTTAAGAATACTTATAATCTTTTGCATGTAAAGGCCATGAATTGTTTATCCTTTTATCAGTTCCTTTACCTCTGAATATGAAATACGCTCATGTGTTTGTAGACTTATCCCCCAGGCCTGGGCCTTTCTTAGAAGGTTTTTAAACCTTTATTAGGAGAGCCACTGGAGGAGGTAGGATTCAGGCTAAAATTGGTGGTCCCATTTTCTGTATATTCTCTGCTTCCTGTTATACCAGGGCCACATCTGCTTCCATCGAGCTGTCCTTTGCCATGTGTACACCACCCCATGGATTGTATTTTCTCAAACCGTGAGCCTAAGTCAGCTCTTCCTCCCTAACGTTGCTCCTTGTCACGTGTTTCTCTCACACCAGTGAGCCATCACTACCACAGTTGCTTCCTCTTTGCAGCTCAAGAATACTCTTTCTGGGAATATTTGACTATAGGGTTTTTTATGTTCCTATACTTTTGGTTATTCTAGCAATGTAGATAAAATTCCTGTGTCAATTGACAACTCTGTTGAACCATTTATTCAATCACTAAAATGCTTATTAGACTTTCCTTGCTGTGACAGACATGCCTGAAAGAAACAGCTTAGGAGAGGAAAGATTTCTTTTGTTTGAATTTCTGCAGTTTCATACCCGGGTCATCAGATGCCTCTGTTTCTGTGCCTGTGCTAACACAGAGCTTCATGGCAGAAATGTGCGGAGGGACAGACACTCAAGTGGTCAGGAGGAGAGTGACAGAGTCATCAGGGCACAGCGCCAGAGATCTGATTCCTCCAACCTACTTTCCATGGGGTCTATAAAATGCCACCACTATGACTCCATTTGATCAGATCAGAGCCCTCATGATCCAATCACTTCCAAGAAGCCCATCTTCTGTAAATCAAGTGTCCAGCATGTGAACCTTCTGGTAACATCTCAGATTCAAACCATCATACTCCCCAAGGCTCTGGAATGTGACTCTGTTGCTAGAACACTTGCTTAGCACACAAGGCCCTGGTTCTTATCTCTAGTGCTGTTGTAATACAGCAGTCAAGAGGTAGAGACAGGAGCATCCAGTGGGCCATATTATTCTTAGCTATATATTGATATTGAGGTTAGCCTTGGCTACATGAGACGCTTTATCTCTTTTTGTATATGCATATATACAGATATATATGTATATATATTCCGCTTTACTTTTTAACATAAACATTGTATGAAAATTATGATTTAAATCCATTTGCTTTTCCCTATGAAATCTCTAAATTGGCGTAAATACCAGTCTCTTTGTGTGACTCATAGTTTTACATATTTTTCCCTGCCAGATGGGCTTTCCAAGTCCTATGAAGCTGGGCCCATGTAATTCCCAAAACCGTATCCAAGGTCTTATCTATAATCTCCTTAAGATAGATTCTCGCTAAAGTGCTTCTGAACTCTAGGGTTCTGTAAAGTTTGTAATTGTGTTTCTTGAGACAGAGTCTCTAATGAGAAAACTTAGCTTGCTTAGAACTCACTACGTAGAATAGGATGGCCTTGAAATTGAAGATCCATTCTCATGCCTCAGCCTCCCAATGCTCCACTGTAGGTGTGTTTCACCAAGCCTGGCTGAAGGAAGGTTTATTTCTTTCTTTGAAATTCTGGCATAATTAATGCATGTGTGCCTGTGAGTATATGCTTCTCTCTCTCTCTCTCTCTCTCTCTCTCTCTCTCTCTCTCTCTCTCTCTCTCTCTCTCTCTGTAAGTGTGTTAACCCTTGCGTAGGTATGGAGGCTGTAAGAGGCCATCTGATGGCCTACTTTTCCCTCTCCACTTATCGCTTTGAGGCAGGATCTCTCCCTTAATTTAGGATGCATGTTTCCTTGGTTAGGCTGGAAGTACCTTCCATCAAACATCCTGACTGCGCCCTTCTTTGAGCTGATGTTGTAGCCATGAAAGCAATGCCTATCTTGTTATGTGGGTACTGGAATCTGAGCTCTATCCTCAGGATTTTTCAGCCGGTGTTTTTAACCTTTAAGCATATATCCATCCCATCACAATTTGGCATATCTTCATGATTAAAGTCTCCATTTCTTGCTCTATGTATAGTGTCATTTACAAAAGAAAGGTTCATTTATGTTATTTCAGGTTTGTGTGTGTGTGTGTGTGTGTGTGTGTGTGTGTGTGTGTGTTTGTGTTGAGACAGAAACTCTCCATGTAGCCCAAGCTTGGATTTCTGTTGTCCCCCTTGCCTCTGAATCCTAAGTGACATGCTCTATCATGTCCTGAACAGAAAATTAATATATTAAACACACCTCAAGAGCTTCTAGTTTTTAAACTTGTTGGGCTTCCTGATAAGGTTCAGTTAAATATCAGTTTCAGGAACTGGAGAGATGGTTCAGAGGTTAAGAGCACTGTCTGTTCTTCTAGTGGACCCCCTTTCAATTGCCAGCACCCAAATAGTGGCTCATAAGTATCTGCAACTCCTTTTCCATTAATGAAAGTCCTTCTGTCCTCCAAGGGCACCAGACACACCTGTGGTGCACAATCATGTATTTGTACAGTCAAAACATTCATGCATAGAAAGTAATACAAATTTGAATATTACGGAAAGAGCGAATTTTTTATAATCTAACCTTAAATTTCCATAAACTATAATTTGTTATTAGTTCTTAATGTCTTTAATGGAGTAAGCTTATACAAAAATGATCATTGCTTGTCTGTAATCAAAACTTACTGAATATCTTCTATTTTATTGCATAGGCTGTCATGACCACACGAATGAGACTGAGTCAGCCTTATCCCTGCATAGGAACCACTAGGGCCTCTGTGTTGAGACAATAAGTCTTTTCCTCATCTTGTAGTGGCAGGAGAAGTTTTTACACTCATACCCTGATGCTGAGCAGCCACATTCTGTGTCCCTCAAAACAAACACAGACACAGATCCCTCAGTTATCACATCTTCTAAAAATCTCTCTTTTGAAAACATGGTATCAAGTCTTCCTCAACAACTTGACAAATCAGGTTCCTATTTGTCTGGAAGCTGGAAAAATTCACAATGGTGGTGTGAGAAGAGCTGATCATTGTTTGTGCCTGTTGGTTTGTACCTGGGACCCATTGATTCCTACTAGGGATAGCAAGATGGCTGATGGTGTAAAGATGCTAACCAAGCCTGAACATGAGTTTGAACCCCTGGAACCCATGTGGTGGAAGAGAACTAGTTCCCACAATTTGTTTCCTGACCTCCACACATGTACTGCTAGACAACACACACACACATACACACACACGAAAATGAAAAAGAACAACATCACAGCTGTGTGCTAACCAGAGAGTCACACTAATCCTAACTGAGGTGCAGAAACCAAATATGAGGGTGTAGGTGAAGGACAGATACTGAGAGGAGAGCAGGTAAGGCCTCATTCATTGAAGTTTTGAGCTTCATTCCTGAAGCCAAAGGGCTGTGTCTGGGATGAGCAGCCAGTGAGAGGCCACAACTGCTTGTAGGACCATCACAATACAGGATGCTCAAGTCCTTTCTTAAAAATTATTTGCGTTTTAAAATTAATATACATTTATGTGTATGTTTATATATGTGAGTCTATGCCACAGTTGTAGGAGAAAGCCAGAAAAGGGTATCAGATTTCCTGGATCTGGAGTTATAGAGAGATGTGAGCCACCTGGTGTGTGCTAGGACTTGAACTTGGGTCTTCTACAAGAAGAACAAGGGCTCTGAACTGATGAGCCATGTCTCTAGGCCCCTACTTCCTACCTTCAAACCAGATCATCAGCCTATGAATAGTCCCAGTCTTATCCACCCTTCTGTTGTCTGATTTTTCTCTGACAGGTCAGTTATTCGTCCTCACTACCCAGCCTAGGTGACAAGATCCAGTTCCCATCTTTCCTTCGGACCGTGACTAGTGACCTTCCATCTTGCCGAGCAATGACCCAGCTGATCATTCACTTTCAGTGGTCCTGGGTGATCATTCTGGCCCATGATGATGACTTTGGGCAGCAGGCCAGCTCTCTGGCCAATCAGGAGCTGAGTCCAGCTGGTGTGTGCATTGAGTTCACCCTCCATGTCCCTTCCCATGAGTCCATGGGGAAGATTGGAGAGATTGTCCAGAAGATGCAGAAATGCACAGCCAGGGTTGTTCTGGTTTTCCTAAGTAATTCCAATTTCCTACTTATTCTTCATGGCCTACTGGGTGTCCCTGTCTCAGGGCAGGTCTGGGTCAGCAAGGACACTACGCACATGGCACTTGCCCTCTCTATTCCAGGCATTTCCCAGGTATTGTTTGGAACATTTGGCATTCTGTTTCACAGCAGCAGGGCTACTGGCTTCCCTGAGTTCCTTGCTAACCTGCGCCCCAGCCAGACTCCAGAAGACATGTTCATAAAGAAGTTTTGGGAGATCACCTTTGATTGCACATGGCCCGACCAGAGCAGCCCAGTGACAGAGGGTGTCCAGCTGTGCTCAGGGAATGAGAGTCTGATAAACCAGCAGTATCCTTTCCCAGAAGTGAGTCGAACTGATGCAGCTTACACAGCTGTCTACAGCATTGCCCATGCCCTGCACGACGTGATAACCAGTGGACAGCAGGATGGGAAAAGTACAGACTCCCAGGACTTCCAGCCCTGGCAGGTGAGAGAAACATGTTTGCAGTCCATGACTGCGGGATGGTTGGGGAAGAGGACATTGACTCTGACTAAGCTATAGAGGTGCAGCTGACTGTATGCTTCAGCAAGGATGCTTCATAGTTGTTACTGAGAGGCTTCTTAGAAGGAACAGTGGCCAAGGAATCCCTGCCATGTGTGGGATCTCAGAACAGTCCAGTTCCTGTTGGTTGCTTGATTTAACCAATACAGGATGCCTAGTAAAATTAGTATTTCACATAACAGTAAACATGTAAGTGTTTTTTCCTGTTCAGCAGTTCCTGTATAGACACTCAGAGGCTTATATTAATTATAAAAGTTTGATCTATTAGCTTAACCTTATTATTAACTAGCTCTTACTTTTAAATTAACCCATATCTATTATTTTATATTTTACCATGAGTTTGTGGCTTGTTACTTCACATCTTGCTGCTTTGTCAGCTGCTGGCATCTGTTTGGATTCTTCCTTCTTTTTTCCTGTATTTAGTTTGACTGACTATATTCTCCCTGGCCATATGCCAAAGTAGCTTTATTCATCAACCAATAAAATCAATACATATTCACAGCTTACAGAAGGGCATCCCACATCATAGAGTTTTTAATACCGCAAATTTAAGCTTTGATAAACAGTGGATGACTTTTAGTGTAGATGTGCTGCAATTCAGAATTTCAAACAGATATCAAATGCCATTTATTTTTCATTTTTTGGTGTATGGGACATGTATATGGGCACATGTTTGTGGGCATGGAGGCACATGTGGATGGGATGTGCACCCACTTGTACATTGTTGTGAGAATATCTGAGGATGACAAGGAATCACCTTTCAATCATTCTTCCATCTTATTTTTTGGGGCATGGTTTCTCACTCAGTTCCAGAACTTGTTGATGTGTCTAGTCTCGTTAGTCAGCTTTTTCATGCATTTCCTGTCTCCTCCTTCTGAGAATGTAATTAGAGAATGGCTGACACATCCACCTGAAATTTAGGTGGGTTCTGTGTTTTGAAGTCTGATCCTCAGGCTTTTATGACAAGTGCTTTAATCACTGAGCCATATCCAAAGCTTTTACTATTTTTGCATTTAAAAATATTATTGATAATTTCATACATGTGTATATGTTGGTAATTTTGCCCTGAGTCTTTGTCTATCTGTCTACCTGCCTGTCTCTTTGTATTTCCATCAATCCATCGATCAATAGATCCATCCATCCATCCATGCATTCACGTATTCATCATCCACCTCATCCATCTATCCATCATCTATCTATCTATCTATCTATCTATCTATCTATCTATCTATCTATCATCTATCTATCTATCTATCTATCTATCTATCTATCTATCTATCCATCCATCTTTTTGTAGCTGCTCAGGTTATCTTAGTTCAAGATATATAAGAAGACTCCTGGAAGACATGTTGCTCACTGATGAGGTAAACAGTGAGAATGGTGGCCAAAGAGGAGGTGTGTTTTCATTACCATCACTCAGATAACCTGAGTATAATGTGTGTGCCTGGTGAACATACATATGGTTGTAAACAGGAAGAACAGTGATAATTTTTGTCATTTGACTGGGGGTGACAGATTAAAATTTGCAGAAGGTCAGGCTTGGAGGCCCATGTTTATCATACTAGCACACAGAATGTTGAGGCCAACTTGGACTACAAAGGGAGATTTCATCACAAAATTAAAACATGTAAGTGTCAAGCTGTCCGTGAATACTTAATGATGAGGATATAAAGTAGACTGAGTATGAACAAGTGAAGGAAAGTGAAAGACTGGGGTAGTTTTCTCTGTCAGCAAGTATCTGAGTTTCAGACAAGAGGATGAGAAGTCTCACCATGGGTAAAAATGATAACATTGCAGATGGCAGGTCCAGCATGTCAGGGCCATGAATGGAGACAAACAGAAGAGCCACCGGGGTGGGACTGATGAACTGTGGGAGACTGGTTGGAGTCAGTGGGCAGTCTAGGTGAGCTGAGCCCAGTCTGTGGAGGTCTTCCTAGAGTTTGGAGTCTTCTGAGTGTGATGGGAAGACTGAGGACAATAATGCACAGCCAAATGAGACCCTGTAGCAGAAACCACATTGTCATGTTTTTGGGTTTAATTTTATGGCTTCTAAGATCGCTCAGTGGGCAAAGGACTTGTCCTCAAGCATTAGTTTGATTACCAATTCTCACATGGCAGCAGAAGGAGAAAACATTCTTGAGAACTGTTCTCCGTGTATAAAGTGTGAGTTATTGTCTGAGTTCCTGTCCGGCCGGGTTCTCACAATCTTTAAGTCCTAAAGATATCACACAGAGGTCTACATTAACTATAAACTGTTTGGCCTATTAGCTCAGGCTTCTTATTAACATTTATAAATTATAATAGCCCATTATTCTTATCTGTGTTAGCCATATGGCTCAGTACCTTTTTCAGTGGCATAGTTATATCTTGTTTCTTCTGTGCTAGACAGGACTCCAGAGGGAATTTCCCTCTTCCCAGAATTCCCCTATTCTCCTTGACCCAACTTACTTCCTGTCTGGTTGTCACGACTATACTTCCATCCTGGCCACTGGCCAATCAGTTCTTATTTAACACATCATTGACAGAATATAGACACGTGTCCCTTACCACTTCTCTCTCTCTCTCTCTCTCTCTCTCTCTCTCTCTCTCTCTCTCTCTCTCTCTCTCTCTCTCTTTCTCTCTCTCTCTCGTTCTCTCTCTCTCGTTCTCTCTCTCTCTCTTTCTCTCTCTCTCCTTTTAAAAAAACCCAAGGACATCCATAGTCCTTTTTTTGGAATGTGGGTGTAGTTTTCCAGGCTACTTTCTGCTGGTGGGTGGTGCTGATAATCTAATGGGGACCTAAAGAAAATTTAGTATTATGACCGAGTCCTGACTGGAGTATCCTGTGAGGCTTGATCATCTCAAGACTGTTCTGGATGTTGAACTCAGACATCTGGGCCATCTGTTCCTATCTAGATTTCTCAGGTGGTCTTTCTTGATCAAACCTGATTTTTCTTAACTCAGAATGAACCCTCATCCTCTCATTTCCTGTGGAAACAAAAGCAAAATTTCTTCTCCAAAGTAACATATCTTTTGCCTTCAAAAAAATACCTATCTTGGATTAATTCAGCAGCATTTATAAGCAAATATCTTTTAGCAGCTTTCACTCCTTCCTCAGCATTCAAACAATTCAAAGAGAGCATAATAACATACAGTATCCAGACTCTCTGTGTATTTTTCATCTTTACGTGGCTTTATTTTAACCTCTATTTCTTTTATCTTTATTTTTAATATTTTGCTTTTTGAGACAGGTTCTCTGTGTATCTTTGACTGTCCTGGAAGTCCCACTGTAGACCAGGCTGTCCTTGAACTCACAGAGATCCATTTTCCTCTCCTTCCCAATTGCTTGGTTTAAAGGTGTGTGCTACCACACCTTGAATTCAAAGAGCTGTGTCTGCCTCTGCCTCCCAATCTTTGGGATTAAAGGCATATGCAACCATGCCTTGAGCTCACAGAGGTCTGCGCCTGCCTCTGTCTCCCAAGTGTTGGGATTATAGATGTGTAGCACCACACCCAAGTACTCTTTCTTTCTTTCTTTCTTTTTTATTTTAAGGACTTTAACCTTTTCCCCCAAGCCTACATATATTTTTTACACACTGTAAAGCATTTAGAGGTTTTCTTCCTCTTTGAATCTTTGTATCTCTCTCTTTTTCTGACCACACGAGTCTTTAATTTGCTAAGCAATATTGGTAGGATTAAGGCCATGGCTTTGACAGCTGGATCCAGCCCATTCCTTAGCTTTATGAGATTCTAGCCTCATTGTGGATGTACTGGCTGTAGCCATGTTTATTGCCAAGACTCTATGGCATTTCAAGTTTCCTGCCACCAACAAAAAGCATATGGTTATCTTTTCATCAACACCATTTAAGTGTTTCATGTCAGGACCTCTTTAAAGAGCTGCAAGCTTTTGCAGCTAAAGCTGAGTCAGGAAGTCTCTCTTAAATGAGAGCGCTATTCTCTGACAAGCAGAACCCACCTGAGAAAATCCTGCTATCAGTAAGACATGATTAACTCTATTATTTTATGTCTAGAATTACTTCCTGTGCTCTTTCACGCTTTATGTGGATGCAGTTGTTCACATGTTGGGCGCCATTTGTTGTCTGAGTTTCTGTCCTGCCTGGTTCTCACAACTGTTACGTCTCAAAGAAATCACACAGACGTCTACCTTAACAATAAACTTATTGGCTCATTTGCTCAGGAATCTTATTAATCCTTTTCACTTACATTAGCCCATTATTCTTATCTGTGTTTGTGACATGGTTTGAGTGATCTACACAGACATAGACACACACACATACAGTAACACAGACACACACACACAGACACATGATGGAGGTGGGTCTTGTATCTTATCTGTTGCTTTCATTGGTTGATAATAAAGAAACTGCCTCGGCCCTCATAGGACAGAAAATTAGGTAGGCGGAGTGGACAGAGGAGAATGCTGGGAAAAGGAAGCTGAGTCAGAGAGTCGCCATGATGCTCCCACTCCAGACAGACGCAGGTTAAGATCCTCTCTGGTAAGCCAGCTCATGGGCTACACAGAATATTAGAAATGGGTTAGAACAATATGTAAGAGCTAGCCAATAAGAAACTGGACCTAGCCGGGCCAGGCAGTGTTTGAAAGAATACAGTTTCCGTGTAATTATTTCGGGCATAAGCTAGCCATGCGGGCGGCCGGGTGCCGGGGACGCAGCCCTGCCGCCGCT